CGGGCTCCCGGCCTGCCCGACGACGCCACGCCCGCTTTGAGTGAGCAAAGCCCTTCGGAGGCCGACCCAGCGGGCCCCCGCCGAGAAAGCCAGAGCGAGGGCGCGCGCACGAGGCGGGAATCCTCTCGCGCGGTTCGCGGCGCGGCGACGCGCGTTCTCCGCTGCGGGAGGCGCGGGCTTCGGCGGGCCGGCGGGCGCGCGCGCGGCCTGCCGGAAGCCAGTCCGGTTCTCGGCAGACGGCGGAGGCTTCCGGCGCCGCGGGTCCGACCAGGCGGGAGGAGCGGCCTCGGGGACTGGCTGTTCCCGCGGCCCCGGCGGCTCCTCCGCGCTCTGACCGCCGCCGAGATCGGGGCTCCTGTCGCGGGGCGGCGAGGCTGTGGGGAGAACAGAGGAGAGGCCGGGAGGCTGAGGGAGGGAGGCTGGCAGACGAGGTGAGGAGGAGGGGAGAAAGAGGACAGGGCCCTGGGAGGGGAGAGGAGATGGGGGGCAATGCAGACTTAGCAAGCACCTGCGGGAGGAGGCTGGGGAGGCCAGGAGACCCGTGAGTGAAGAGAAGAGAAGGGAGGGCGAGAGGAAGGCGCCCCGGTGGTCGGGGGAGGGAAGCCTCCGCTTCTGGTCCGTTTCCTGGGCCCCAGAGGAAGGCGGAGATGAAGGTCTTGCCCTCTAAGAATGAGGCCAGCTAAGAAAACTTTCTCACCACGTGGGAACATTTCATTGTTTTTAAGGAACCTTTCCAAATCGATAGCTTTTAAAATGACAACCCCCTATTTGTCCTAGGACTAAACATAATTGACAATTCTGGCCGAGGAACAAGCTCTTGCTGCCCTTTCTGTAATGTATAGATAAACATCCGCCTTTTTGCTGTGTACGGCTTGTAGAGAAAGTACAGAGAGCAAACCCCAGGGGGCGAGGGCTCATATTACAGGTTCTCCCAATTGTTTAAGCGCCCCTGACAACAGACTATTTGGTTTTCCCATCCGTGTTTACACTGTCATCTTGGTCTCCAGAATCGAGCGTTTGGGAGTGGATTTTTATCTGGCTTCTTGGACACCACTTACTGGCGAACTACAGCTAGGAGAGATTTTTGAAGCCCGGCTGGGAGGCAGAGGCCCCTGGTGAAGTATAAAAGCACACACATTGCTTGCAATTTCCCCTCCTTTGATGGTGGAGAAAAAAACTCCTACATGGTATGGCATGTAAACAAATTTTTTTTAAAAATTATTAATGATATTCCCCAGGGCTCCAGACAGATTGGTGAGCAAACTTCAGCCAACTTGGAAGCGGGGCAGCTTTCCATGCCCAGTTACACAAGATGAGCTCCCCGTTTGCCTGGGTCCCAGGGCCCTCCAGACAGGCTCGAGGACCCGTCTCTCTTTTTCTCTGTCTGTCGTTTTAACCGGCTGTTTTTCAGCATTTCTCTCCTCTTGCATGGAGGAGCTTGGTCTGCCCTTGTTTGCAGCTCTTGCAACACTTCATTTAAAGTGACTTATCTTGCCAAATCGATTATCTCCTTTAACATCAGCTTTCACCCAGCAATAATAGCTGGTTATGGTTCATGCTTTTGCAAAGAGGCTGATTCTGACTCATCGTGGCCAACGTTGTCCCACACACAGCTGAGTAAAGTCCTGGTGGCCATCCAATTCCTGACTGTCAACTGCTGACCTCCCAACTGCTTCCCCATTGATATCACCATCTGTTGTCATGGGAAAGATGGTCTGATATTTGGGTTAAATGCCACTGAAGTCATTCAATGTGGAAAAATAGCCCAGAGTAAATTGCCCTGTGAGGTGCGGAAGCTCTTTTCCCAGAGATAGTGAATCGAACAAAACACTCCCCCCCCCCCCCCAGCAAAACAAAAACACCTCAACCTCGCCACAGAAAATGCATTCCCTCCGTCACTCATTGTCACTCAATTTCAATGCCGTGCACAGAAATGTGTGTCTTAAAGACTCAGGTGTGACAAGGCCGTTCGTTGGGGCCACAGGGAGAGGGGAGGAAGGTTGGGTATTTGCTCTCTGCGCCCTCAGCAACCGGGGGGCTCACCCAGCGCTGCGATGACCGCCCGCGGGGCTCGGGCGCAGGTCAGACCCCGCGCTCTCCGGGGCGCCTGCTGCCGCCGCGTCCTGCGAGCGGGGCGGGCAAGGTTCCCCACGGGCACGCCGCGACCCCTCCTGGCACGTCCCCTGCTCGGTGAAGGAGCAGCTACTTAACATGCAAAGTTTCCTGCAGCCCGCCCGGCTCGCCCGTGATCATTTCAGTAGCTAACTGGCTTCTTTCCGAAAAGGCTGCCGAGGCACACAACATCTTGGGGACCCATTTTGCTCCCGACGAACACGCACACGGACCCGGAGTCTCCTCTCTTGCAAACTCTGACCCCTTCCTCGTCTCTCCCTTCATCGCGCCCCCTCCCCAGCCCCCCTCCCCCCGGCCCGGGATCCCAGTCCCTCTCCCAGGGCTCAGCAGTTGATCGCTCTTACCTTTTCCCTCCGCCACTGGGGCTTCGGGAGATGATCCAATGACCAAGCAGAGGAGCCAGAAAGCTCTAGCTGTCATTTTTGCAGACACGGTTCCCAGGCTCTAACACCGAGCCAGGGCTTTCTGCTGTTTCTCTCCCCCCACCCCTGCTTCACACCCCCACCCCCCTTCATGCTAATGAGAGGCAGCCTTTGGGGAAACGGGAATCACTCACTGGACAGACCATCGGAACAACAGGGAGCCGCAGGGATTTCTCCCACGTCCTGAGGGGGACAGCACGTGGCCTCCCAAAGTCGTCCCTGCGAATGTGTGTCCTGCGGCCTCTGAGCAGCGATAACATCAAATCCTAAACTTTAAACCCCGGAGGGTTGGCGGGCTGGCTGGGGGGAGGAGAGGGTGGGTTGGCCAGTGGAGAGAATAGGGTGTTCAGGGGTGAGGGACAGGGCGGGGGAGAACGAGTGAGAGGGAGTTTGTTCTCGATGAAGCCTGCCACAAATAAGCACATTAGCGCCCCAGACAGCTTGGGCTGGTGGCAGGGAGATCTCAGATGACAAAGTTCCTCGCAGAATGTGTCAGGGATTCCAAGAGAAACAAGTCACCACATCCTAGGTTTGGTTAAACGATTTTACTCTGTCTACAACTTTTATATTCTAGAACCAGAAGGGACAAAAGCAGTCCGCAAAATAGCTTGTCCTCTTCCTTTCCGCACCCCCATTGAAACTGGTATGTAGTTGGCAGGATTCATCAAGCCTTTTCCCCCCGCCAGGTGCTCGGGTACAAAGGTGAACAAACACCTTCCCAGGTCTCTAGTGATGGCTCATCTCCTGCAGAAAGGTGAGTCGCTGCTGAGGGCTGAATTCTGAAACCGTCCTGGGCTAAGGAACCTCCTCCTCAGATTGCACCGAAACAATATTCACCGAGGGCAGAAACAGGCTCAGCCTCGTAAACCCACAGCCGGCCCCGCGTGTATCTCCTTTCAATGGCTTCAAACCCAAAAGGAAGGGGACATGCATTGAGATGAAGGCGTTTTCTCAGAAGCCTCTGAACCAACAGTGAGATGCAGCAGCTGGAAGAAACAGCCAACTTCTGCTGCACTAACATCTCACGTCTCAGAAATAATAGTGCGCGTGGACTGACCAGATTCTGGGGGGGGGTCGAGTTTTCCAGAAAGACACTGGACAGCTAGAAGGAGAACAATGGCGCGGTGAGAGGGCTGGACTCCATCGTGTTTACGTTCTTTTGGAGGAACGCAGGATTGGCAGCCTAGACACACAAGAACATTTGTTGTGTTTGGTGAAAGAACCCGTAGGTTAAAGTGATGAAGGGACAAGTTTAACTTCCATCGAGGAAAATATGGTAACAACTGAGATCTCCAAGAGAGCAGACTGAAGGGTGGTGACAGTGAGCTCCTGGCCGTTGGGGGCGCTCAGAGAGAGCATCGTTCGGGGATGCTGTAGAGAGTGTCCTGCATGAGGTGCATTGTGGTTTGAGGGATACAGTGAGGTAAATGTGGTCCCCTGGAGAGGAGCTGTCTAGCCACAGGCTGGCAGTATGTTGGAGGGGCCCCTATGTTCCTAGTCTGGTTCTCACCTTTCCTCAGTTTGTAACCCAGAGGATGTCCATGGATCAGATTCATGGGATTGACTCATGTTAACCGAACTCGTCAAAAGCAGATGTATAAACCAGAATGTTATTTATTAATAGGCAATGGAGGGGCTATAGTAAAGGTGATTCCGAGGTCTAATGATTAATCAGAAGGTTGTGTTTTGAGCACTAAATTGAATTACAGCTGAAGGTAGGCTAATCTTTCTCATTCACACCTCTCCAGTCACTGCAAGGCTTGAGTACACCAGTCAGTGTCTCCAACCTCCGGCCAGGACCACATAAACTCGGTGAAATCTGTGCTTTTGGGCGTCCAGTTTACCGATGTCCTGAGCTCCCCTTCTTGTTCTTTAAGTCAAGTGAAATAGAATTAATTAGGCTTCAGCTTTCTCAGTTACAACCACATCTCAGACATACCTGCTGGAGATTATATTCAAGTCACGCAGATCCAATTTGGGGTGTTGGTGCTCCAGAAACTCTTCTGTTGCAGGAATGTTGTGAATGCCCCAAAGCCCACACCCTGCAATGTTGAGGCAGAGACCAGCTGCATGGCTCCCACATGGCCTACGGGCTCCCAGGTGGCACCAGCCTGGAAGAACTTGCAGGGTCCAGGGCTGGGCAGCAGCTGGCTTGCAACTTCCGAGCCACACAAACGGTGGGAGGCACAAAGAGCTCAGAGTCGGATCTATGTAAGCCAGAATGCCACTTACTAATTTACAAGAGATCAACCCAGGCAAGTGTGCATGCTCATGTCAGCCTGGCTGACATTCTCTTCCTATACACAAGCCACGTGGGAAGCCAAATTATCATCACGATGCTTGGTAATATAAACCAGAGCACGAGGAGTTTGTCATATGATTGGAATGTTTAACGGTATTGGTTTCTCATAGCCTAATGTGTCCATCTCCATAATAGGTGTGTGTGTGTGTGTGTGTGTGTGTGTGTGTGTGTGTGGCAGGTGGCAGTATCCAAGAGCCTTCCTCTTTCCTGCCAATTTCTGGTGTTTCGAGTGCATCTTTCTGCTTAGCAAATATTTGTTGAGCGTCTACTATGTGTATAAGAAAGAATTTGTGCCAGCTTCCTGGCATGGAGCTCCTAAAACCCTTGGAATTTCCCAAGTGATAGAAGGGTCTTTGTTATTCATGAGCTTCCTGGATCACACCGGAGTTTATGCTAATGAGGGGACTCTTGGAGAGATCCCTTTGATGGCTTCAGGATGGGAGCTGGGACCAGAAAGAACAACCATGCAATTAGATGGTCAAGACTTTGAGCCAACAGGACCTCCAAAGAGGGGAGAGAGGCTGGAGATTGGGTTCACTTGGGTGGGCAGTGATTTAACCCATCCTGCCTACCAGCAAACCCCAGTGAAAAGTCAGTGGCTGGCCCTGGCCAGGTAGCTCAGTTGATTAGAGCGTTGTCCTAATACACTAAGGCTGCAGGTTTGATCCCTGGTCAGGGCACATACAAGAGACATCCAATGAATGCTCCAATAAGTGGGACAACAAATCAATGTTTCTCTCAAATCAATAAATTTAAAAAAAATTAAAAAAAGAAAGAAAAGAAAAGTCAGTGGCGCTCGGTGAACACATTAATGTGTTGGGAAGGTGCTGCGCCTGACCCATGGAGAGAGAACAAGGCAGCGTTGCAATTGGGCCCTCCCAGATCTCACCATATCTGTCTCTTCATTTGACTGTCCCAGATCTGTACCCTTTACAATAAAACTGGTCGTAAGTATAGCATCTTCCTGAATCCCGTGAGCCATTGTAGAGAACCATCAAATCTGAGGGGGGTTGTGAGAACCCCCAGGTTTGTTGCCAGTTTTTATTTAATTAAAATTGTTAAAGTATTATTACAAACTCTTTGTAAACGTGAAATCTCATAACTGCATAACACGTTCTCTTTCAGACTGTTGTAATGTACCCCGCGAATCACAGAAGGACGCCTCAAGAAGTCGAATTAAAGAGTCACATTTATTGCAATCCGGGACTATGAGGGGACATTCCCAAATCTCATAGTAATAAGATGGTGGCAAAACCAGACTTATATAGGCAAAAATCACAAAGGTATTGATTACATCCCAGGGTTTGGAATGAGGACCCTGGTTTGCACAAAGCAGTTACAGAAGCGAGAATGAACTGATTAGTTATCTACAAAGAATATTTATAGTTTTGGGTCTTGGGACCACTGAGTTGACAGAAACACATTATCTAGAGCCCTCGGGTCTTGGGACCACTGAGTTGACAGGGAAACATTATCTGGAACCCTCAGGTCTTGGGATAATTGTGCTGTCCTGGTTCCCAGGTACAGAGGTATTTGCTTTCTAAAACCAGTAAGATCACAATCAATGGGATAGTCACGTTACAATCAATAAGGCATTCAATCGAATGGGATGATTTATACAATTCAGAAAATCAAAGTAACTTTTCTATTGTTAAGCCAAACAGCAGGGTTAGAGTTAAACTGTAGATGGCAGCTACCATACTTCAAGACAAACCATAATTTGGAATGTTTTAGGCTGCTTTCAGTTTTTGCCATTGTAAAACTTTCTGTGTCTCCATCAACAGAGAAATGGCCGGCTCTCGCGTGACGTAGTGAAATACTGTAGAGCAGGTACTATTGACATTTTGGGCAGATAGTTCTTTGTTGTGCCTTGTAGGACTTTGACCGGTATGCCCGGCCTTATCCACCGCATACCAATAGCACCCTGCCTCCAGCTGTGACAACCCCCACTGTCTCCAAATGTCTCCTGGGGGCAAAATCACGAACCATATTCATTGCTAATACAGCAATGAAAATAAATGAGCCACAATTACAAAAGCAAAAAGAGATGAATCTCATAAAGATGAAGTCAAGTAACAAAAAGTCCAATTTCCTTTGTATAAGGTTCACAAATAGGCAAAACTAATCTATGGAGTTACAAGTCAGGATAATGGTTATTCTTGGGAGTAGGTCTTGACTCGAAAGAATACTGGGGGAGGGGAGTCTCTGGTGTTAAAGTTTTCTAGAGTTTGACTTACTAATTTTTGATATGTTAAATAAGACGTAAAATTAGTTTATATAGTCAAAGATGTCATATATGCCCTAGTCGATTTGGCTCAGTGGATAGAGCATTGGCCTATGGGCTGAAGGGTCCTGTCAAGGGCATATGCCCACCTTGCAGGATTCAATCTTCAGTAGGGGGCGTGCAGGAGGCAGCCAATCAGTGGTTCTCTCTCATCATTGATGTTTCTCTCTCTCTCCCTCTCCCTTCCTCTCTGAAACCAATAAATATATATATTTTGAAAAAAAAGATGTCATAAAGTTTATAACATCTGTCATCCCTTTATAAAAGCTTAAATTTATACAAGTAATACATATTCATTCCAGAATTAGATATTACAGATAAGAAAAAATAAAAAAATTAAATGTAATTCTATTGTCTAGAAAAAACTATTATAAATATTCTGGTGTGCCCATTTTCAGACTTTTTCTACACATATATGTACATGTAAATATGTTACATAATTTCTTTCTGTAAAAGTGGGATCGTGGTGTACACATATTTATTATTGATTTGAGAGAGAGAAAGGGAGAGACTGAAAGAGAGAGAGACACAAAGACAGAGACAGCAAGAAACATCGATGTGTAAGAGACACGTTGGTTGGTTGCCTCCTGCACCCGCCTGACCTGGGCTGGGGATAGAACCTGCAGTTACATGCCCTTGACTGGAAATCAAACCCTTGACCCTTTGGTGTGCAGGCCACTGTTCTAACTGGCCAGGGCAACATGTTTGTTTTTGTTTGTTTGTTTTTAATTTTAATGATTTGTCAGCATCTTTCCATTTCAATAAACACAGGATTCCATAATCATTTTTATGGACTGAATTCCTCAACATTGAATTGCTGAGTCAAAGGATAGGATTCTTCAGTATTTTTGCTGCGTGCTGCTGAGCGGTCCCCAGACATGTTTGTCAGTGTGCACTGAGCGGCATTCAGCGCAGGCATGCACGGAGGCCTTTCTCCACATCGGGGTGGGAAACATCAGTGTGTGAGCTCCTTGCTGTTCTGAAGAGGTTTTTTTTTTTAATTTCCATGTAAATTCTTTTTAAAAATATTTTTTCAATTACAGTTGCCACTCAATATTGTGTTATATTAGTTTCAGGTGTGTAGCATAGTGGTTAGACATTTACATAATTTACACAGTGATTCCCCGGGATAAGTCCAGTCCCCACCTGGCACCATATATCATTATTACGATATTATTGACTGTATTCCCTGTGCTGTACTTTACGTCCCCATGACTATTTTGTAACTACCAATTTGTGCTTCTTACTCCTTCCACCTTTTTCACCCTGAAGAGGTTTTTTTTTAAAAGGTTTCTCTTTAATTCCCCGCCCCCCCCCCTTTTTTTTATTGCGGGTGATATTGTACACTTTTTTTTATAGATTTATTGGCCATTTAGATTTCTTTTAATTTCCTGTTCATATTCCTTGTCTATTTATTAGGATGTTCATATTGTCCTTTATGAGTTTAAGAACTATTTATAGCCTAAGAATTTTAACTCTTTGTCCATTATATAGCATGGGGCAAAAGTAGGTTTACAGTTGTTTATACAGAAAAGAATACATTAATTACTAAATAATAACACAAGAATAAACTCTATCAAGAACTCACAACACCTACTTTTGCCCCACCCTGTATAGATTGCAAATATTTCCTCACACAATTTCATTTGACTTGTAACTTCTTAGCAATTTTTTTGTCCAGAGAACGTTTACATTTCACACAGTAAAATCCATCAATCTCTTGTTTAACAATGTCCCTGCTGTCTTTGTCATGCTTAGAAAGTCTTTCTCCATCTCAAAATATATATAAACCTATATTTTTCTAGTGCTTGTGGTAAAATCACGATTCCATCTGGAATTTATTTTGGTATGTAGTATGAGGTAAGAATCTAATTTTAATTTTTTCTCAAATAACTAGGAAGTTGTCTCATCCAATTGCCAAATAAATTCATCCTTTCCCAGCATTGAGATGTCACCCTTAACATAAAGCAGCGATTCTCAACCAGCGTGCCACAAGAATTTTTAAAACATGCATACCTGACTACTTAATTACAGGCGTTGGCCTGTCTTCCCTCAGATTGTCAAATAAAAAAATGACAACAGCCAACACAACAATAGCCGTCCAATGTGAATGAATCAAAATTAGACCTATTTTTTTTGTCAGATCGGCAAAAAATATATTTTTTGATGTGCCGCCGAATGTTAGTAATTAGTTTATGTGTGCCATGAGATGAAATAGATTGAAAGTCACTGACATATATGTCCACAGTGGGGCATGGTTATAGTTATCATATTGTTATAACATACTACAGGCCCAATGCACGAAATTCATGCAAGGGGCTCAGCCCTAGCAGCTGCTGCGGCTTGCCTCGGCCCTCGAAGCCCCAGCTTCGTCTGAAAGGTCATCTGGAAGGTCGTCTGGCTATCTGGCCTAATTAGCATATTACGCTTTTATTATTATAGATATTTCTTTGAAAAATTTGTTTTCTATATGATAGTGTTTGCTTTTCTTTCAAGTTAACTTTAGAATTATTCTGCTAAATTTAAGAATCCTGGCCCTAACCAGTTTGGCTCAGTGGATAGATAGAGCAGCGGTTCTCAACCTGTGGGTCACGACCCTTTTGGGGGTCAAACGACCCTTTCACAGGGGTCGCCTAAGACCATCGGAAAACACATATAATTACATATTATTTTGTGATTAATCACTATGCTTTAATTATGTTCAATTTGTAACAATGAAATTGGGGGTCACCACAACATGAGGAACTGTATTAAAGGGTCGCAGCATTAGGAAGGTTGAGA